GTTTTGGAAAATACTTTTCTTTCCTTTTTTTATTTATTGTTCAATTATACTTACTTTGCTGGAAAATATAACTAATTTCTTTATATACTCTTATTTAATAGTCCTATTATTAAAATTTTTCTCGCTACTTCTTATTTGAACTGATTTCTAAACATTTATCAATAAGCTTCTTATTGGATCGTATAATATCTTCATCTCCAATAAGGCATAATACAAGTTCGATTTTCTGAAAAACTCAATTTACAAAAATTAAAAAACTTTTATCTACTGCCCAGGGGCTGATGAAATTATCACTACCTGATGATATACTAGAAAAAAAATGATCAAATTTACAATAGGGTATATCAAAGAGAAAACATAGGTCATAATTTATTATCAAAAATATTAATTACATTTAATTAGTTTTGAAGAAAAATAGAAACAACACATAATTTTATCAAGATGAGGAATAATAGACTATATTGCATCTTAAATTAGGGAAATCAAAACAAACGCTTCTACAGATACTTCTCTCCATGCACACACACACACCCCCTATACTGTATATAAAACTTAAGTGGATTCAATCAAACAAAATCCAAAAAATCAAAAAAACCCTAAATCCTTTTCCTGCAATGGGAAAAACCCATGTTTGTTATTCCTTTTCTTTTCATTTTGCTTATCTTTATACATCTCAGATCCATAGCAAAGCAAAGTGAATCTCTTGCGAATCTTTACAAAATCCAGCTTAATGGGAAATTCTGGTATGGGACAACAAGCATTTATAGGCAGATTTGCTTCTATTATTACTATAAATCAAGAAATGGAAAAATAGAAGAAAACGATTCAGAATCAAAAGATCTCCTGGCCAACCTCAAGTTAATTTTTCACAATATAGAGTATTTACTGTGGATAAATCTTAGCCGGAAGCCTATATTATTATTTTGCTGAAGCTCCAAGTAAAGTTCTAAGAACTCTTGGCCTCTCTTCTGTTGCTAAAATGGAGGTTATTAATATATTCTTTTCTATTTTTCTCCCTTGTGTTCTAATTTCTTTATTTCCTAAAAATCAGCTATTCTTTTTATTATTTTAAATTTAATTTTAAAAATGCTTATTAATATGACTGTCTGTATTTAAAGCAATCATTAATATTATTTACAGGGCTGTTGTCATCTTTGCTTATGGTTGATGCAAGACTTTGACCATTTCGATATATAGTGATGGCAAAACACATTATCAAGAAACAATTTTCATGGCTAATACATGTAATTTCCTTAAATATTTACTTTCGAACTAACTTAAAGAACCTGGGACTATCTGTTTTTCTTAATAATACATATTATAAAAAATAAATGATTCCCTCTGATAAATTAATTTTCAACAATTTAAATTTAATTTCATAAATCTTTTTGGCATATTTTATTTTTATTTACTTCTTTTTTTTTATTTTTTTTTTTTTTTTTTGTTTGTTTTTTTTTTTCAGTTGAAATTTTCTGTTTCTGGTCTCACTGTGCGAGTAGGCCTTTTCATACTCTAACAAACATTCATATTATTAAAGAATTCTGGGGTTTTGATTACATACAGCAACAGACAAATTATGTGTTTTTGTAAATTGGCTTGAAATATTCTTAATATAGAAGAGATTCTACCTTTCTGGAGAAAGCTTAGAACCATAGTTCCTCAGTCTTGCACATACCATCCTTTACTACAACATGAAGGCCAACCAAAACCATATCAACCTCAAGGAATTGCACAGTATGGCCTTTCAACCTATAAAAACATAATTTACTGGAAAAAATGTATTTTATCCTGGAAAAGTGAAACGTTTCCAACATTTAAAACCTTCATCAGAATTTCGTGCATTATAAAATTAGTGAAATTGAAGCTAACCGAATGTTATATCTGTGAAAAGCATAGTAGAAATGCATTATAATATGAAACAATTACGAATGTTGATATCCTTCTTTATCAACCCATTTTGATCTTCACACAAAAACACTGCAAAAAATAAAAAAACACGTAATTTCTCACCAAGTATACAACCATCCATCCAAGATTGCAAGCAACGCTACTGAGAAAGGATACAACATTCTCAGCTATACATGTATAACATTTTATGCTCCTTTGTGCTTGATAAATATCACAGCTCCACCCCAAGAAGCTCAGTAAGTTCGATGAACACAAGTTTTTAATAATGCAGGAAAGTGATTTCTATAATACCAACTAAATTTGTTGCTTATTTGCCAGCTGGATAATTTTGATCCATTCATTGATCTATTAATGTGCAATGTCTATTTCACATAGGCTATGTGCAAGAAGCTTTGCATGCCCAATTCACCAGCTGGGTCGATTGGATGAACCATGTAAGAATTATTGTATCTGTGAAAGATATAGCCCTCAACATTCTCCCTTGCTCAGGAAGTTCAGAAAATGATTAAGATCTTGTTATATGTATGCTCATAGAAAAAAGGGAAAAAAAAACATATTATTACCCCTAAACTAAAACCTTTTTTTTATTAGATTAAATTATATTCATGATGTATGGAACTTCAAATTAATAGCGTTTTTTTCATTTTCCAGTTGTTTCGCGTTCTATCTTGTTACGTTTAATTTCCATGTACATAGATATATCTTTAAAACTTTTTGGCAACAACTTTTTTAAAATAATTTTAATGTTCTGATCATTAAAATGCTAAACGCGGTTATTTTTAAGTATTCCTAACATAACGTTTGAACTAATTTTTAAAGGTTAATAGTATATTATTAAAACTTTAACTCACTGAACGTCTAGCCTTTTAGCAATTATGAAAACTATTAATAACTACTAAAATAATCTTTCCGAATATACCTTGGATATTGTTAAATCAATCAACCATTGAAGAGCATAAAACACTAACGCCAGGAATGCAGTATTTAATGTTATTATCCTAAATAAAAATAAATTTAGAACCCAAAAGAAACACTTCAACAACTGATGACATACTATTATTTAAAAACATCTTACCATCTTAACATATTTCACCATGCGTGGTTATACGATGGGAAGCGGTACCTACTTCTACCAATACTCACATGCGCAAGTTGAACTGTTCCTATTTAAAACTGAATGTACCCTTGTACCTTAATGGGAGGTAATATATTTATTTATTTAAAATTTATTAATCTTATACATTATAAAATTGTAATTAATAAAGAAATTGAAATAAATATTTTGGCTGTGATGAATTGTTTGTTTCTGAGATTTATAAAGGAGACTTTACTTTTGCTACTGTGAGAGGGGCTGGACATGAAGTGCCTGCCTTCCAGCCTGCAAGAGCACTCTCACTTATTCACCACTTTCTTCTTGGCAAACCTCTTCCAAAAATTTCATAATTTATGTAACTCAATTTTTTTTTTTATTACTAGAATTTTATTGTGTTAATTTATTATAAACAATAGCCAAATTATTAGGCTTAAGTTTATTGGATTTATGCGCAACAAGCCGTAATAGAGTAGTGGTAAATAAATATATAACCTGACTATAAATTCTAGTTCAAATTTCCCTCCTTAACGCAAAAGAAAAAGAAAATAAATTATTACTAGGTTTTGACACGTAAAGATTCTTTTGATGTAATTTTTTCATTCAGAATCAGATTTTACTCAATAAAGTCACATTGCCAGTATAGTTACTTATAAAATCTCAAATTCACTCTTGACTGGGTGTTTTGTAGGAAGGATGGACCCTATTCCAGTTTAAAAAAAAAAAGGATAATTTCCATCTGAAAAATTGTCAACCAATGTCTGTAAACTTTCTTCTCTGATAAATCTTTGTTAATAAATAAACAAATATGCTCATATAAGTATCTCAGCATAGGAAACAGAATTCTTTTCTGATAAATTGGTAACAACTGCTCATTGTAGTCATATGTAGCAAAAACAAGATCGTAGTTTCTTTTTTTTTTTTTTTTTTTATCGTAGTTTCTTTTTTTTTTTTTTTTTTTGAAAAATTAAAATTTTATTTATTAAGCCCATCATCCAGAAAATTAAACATCACTAAAATCCATCTAAAAACCCCGACCAACAGCCTCCCCATACACCCCTCCTAGATTAGAATGCCAAGTGAAAATACCTGGCTGAAACTAACATACTGAAGATACAATACTACTACACTCTCCAGAAACATTTGGCCCGTTATCCTCACCAACTCCTTGCAAGCTTAACCTAATAGCACTCATTTCATACACAATCTACCGCTTGTTACACTGTGACACTCAAATCAACATGCAAAATAATGCCCCCACTCCAACCAGTTTTTGCTTATGACCAGCCCCCCAGACGGGATACTCTCGGATTCGCTCGCAAGCAACGACTTAATCGCTACAACACATATCACCCACGCAGTAGTTCTCGTACACCTAGACACTCGAAAGCAGTCCCCACCATGACAAGTTTTTTTTTTTTTTTTTTTTTGAAAATTAAATTTTATTATTAAAGCCATCATCCAGAAAAACTTAACATAACTAATCCATCTAAACCCGACCAACAGGCCTCCCCCATACACCCCTCCTAGGATTAGAAATGCCAAGTGAAAATACCTGGCTGAATAACATCTGAAAATAAAACATCAATAGAAAATTTGGAGTATCTCACCAAACTTTGCAAGCTTAACTAATAGCAGTCTTTATAAAATTACAGTTGTAGATTGTAGAAACCAAAAACATCGAAAATAATCCATCAAAGTTTTATGCTTATCAGCAGGGATTGGATTTGAGACGATTATGACAATCTCGAGTTCTGGCCTAAGCAGTCCCGAAAGTCTGAAGAAACAATTGCATTATTTGCAGCCAAGATTTGATATGTATAAAATCAGCTCATGTCAGTGTCGGAACAATGAAGAACAAAAGCTATAATAGCAGTACTCAAGTACTGACATGAGAAAATGTCATCTATATGCAAGGTGAGAGGTGAGATTCTTCAACTTCTAACACCTACAGAAACTTTTCCAATTTATGCATTATGAGTTAGAACCAACTGAACAGAACATGTAATTTATTGTCAACCACTAATACATGGCCAACTGGTCTCATCCTCATACATGGCCGATCCTCATACATGGCCGATCGGTCTAATTCTCACTTGACCAGCCCACTAATTTTTTTTATGCTCTCTTTTCTTTCTATACCAACAGGAGGTCACCCTGTGGTTTTTCATATAATCCATATCATCAGATGCACACGGTTGCGCCGATCTCCCCGTATATGACTGACGGTATCGTAGACCGCCCTAAAAAACCCAATGGTGACCCACTTCGTCTCAATTCCACGCAAACAAAGCATATCATCATCACAACACATCCAATTAAACATTGCATTCAAATGCAAGCACATTAAATAAACAAACATTGTTATGCAAATGTTCAAATATACACATATATAAGTCAAGTGCAAAATAATGGATATTTACACTATAAACTAAATAAATAAATAAATAATAATTAAATAAGCAAGAAATTGTAATATTATATAATAATGTATGTATACACGATGCAATTGATAATATACTATTTATTATAACTCGCGGCAATAAGAAAGGGAATACTCTAATTGTAGTTCTGTTTTTTTTTTTTTTTTTTTCAACAAGCATAAGAAATCTTGAATTATCTATATGAATTAGAATTGAAAGGGGAGAAAAATTAAATAAAGAATTCCTTCTAATCAGAATAAGAAATCATCTAAATAAATCTAAATAACTATTTATTAAGTATGTTATTCAAGATTTTGTAGAAATTTGCGCGGAAACCTATGAAAATTAATTCCAAGAACTCTATGATAAGATTTTGGAAAGAGATCAAGATTCAAAACTAAACTCCCCTCTATGGACCCAAAGCTTAAAGAAGCAAGAACATCAATAAATAGCAGTAAAAGAAATAAGATAAACGCCACATAATTGATAAGTTTAACCTTGATTCTTGAATGGCAATTAGAGTAATGCACTCTCACAATCTCTCTAATGAAAGGACATGCCTAAGCATGAACAACAAATTTGAAGAATTTCTATTTCATTGAATTGTGTTTTGTTTTACAATATAACAAGCTATTTATACTAAATCTAAGAGGTCCTGATCCTTAAAGATTTAGAATAATTAATCTAAATCAACTAAGGATAAGGATTTAGCTAATCTAAACCAACTAAGGATAAGAGTAACAAACCTCAACAATTTAAGGATTTAGGAATAACAAATCCTAACTAACTAAAGATTAGCTAAATCTAAACAAAATAAGGATAAAATAACCAAAGGTGGCCAAATTATAGGAGGCCCAACCCATTAACATTGTTAAAACTCAAAATAAACTAACTAATCTTGCTGGAGGCAGACTCTGGCACGGCCTGGGCGTGCTATCCGACACGGGCGTGCTAATGTAGCACGGTTTGGGCGTGCTGTTTGGCACGGGCGTGCTTCATGCTATTGCTTTCCTTCCTCAAGTCAGACTCTAGCACGGTCTGGGTGTGCCAACTAGCACGGGCATGCTTCTTGTTTTCCTCAACGTATGCTTCAATTAGTGCAAGAATTTTAGGTCTGTCTTGAAGTTCTACACAGCACTTGTTGGAAGCAATGTCATGGAGCTCTTGTATAGCTTGTTCTTGAATGTATAAAGATATGGTTGTTCCATATTTCTTTGCATAACTTCTTGTAATTGATCCACTAGGAAGCACTAATGGATTTTCCATGTTGTTCTCCTTGTTCCTTTGAGCTCCATGGATAAATGATGGCGGATCCGTATCAGAAATTTTAGCAGAACCTCCCCTAAAAATAGGAGTTTCCACCTGATTAAATATCATAATAATGTCAAATATTTTCAATCAATACACACAGTCCATCTATTGGGTATTCAATCAAATCAAATACCCAACCTCCTCTTAATACCAACATCGTCATCCAACCATCACAACTTCTTCATAAATTTTAATTTACATTCTTAATGAAATCATTTATTAATCCTTGTATATATATTGTTATATATAATTATATATATATATATATAATATATATAAAGCATATTTACACAATTAGCTTTTAACTAGCCTAGTTAACAAAAACCGACTTTTCTATTCCTTCATCATTGTACTAAAAATATAAGTATTGATATTCATTCTCTTATCTAACTAATAAATAACAATAAAAATGCATCAAGCTAAGTTAATTCTAAAAATAAAAATGAACTATTCTAAAAATAAAAATGAAAATTTCAAATTCCAATTCACATTCAACTATTTTTATGTCTTCCTTTTTCCTTTCAGTCACAAAGAATGAGAATATTATGATTAAATCTTATTCCAAACGAAACTACTTCCAATATCTTGTAACCAATGTGAAACTAACTAAAGCACCTAATATCTTGACTTGCTACAATCCATAATTAGGGAAATACTCACTTAGCTACCTCTAATTTCAAGAAATCATCGTTTTACTTCACCAAACTCATACGCCGTATATAATTAATTCATTCCCCATCACAAAATTCACTCACAACATCATATAACTCATATCAAGACAATAATCCAAGCAAATTACAAGAATGGCTGTTGCCGTTGCAAAAAAATTTCTCAATCGCTAAATCAAAATCTAATATAACTATATGTAATTATTATTCCATTTGCAATTTCCAGGTTATACTTCCATTAAGGAACAATAGCAAAGTTTGCGATTGGCCCCTGTAATACATAAGCTAATTGTTTTATTTTCCACCAAGATTCAGATATGCAACATAAGTTCTCATCTTAATATTATCAAAACTCATAAAAAAAAAAAAAGTAACATAGCTGCTGCCATTACAAAAAAGTAACTTATTCATTTCCACCGAGAAACAGATATAAAACATCACTTGCTTCTTATCATAACAAAACTCATACAAATAACCATCTAACTACTGCCATCTAAGGGGTTATTAATTCATATAAACTAACAATTTTTACATTAAATCTCAGTTTATATTTCAATTAGAGATTAATATCAAAATTCCCAAATTATTTTAAGCACATTTTTGAATCCCAAGGCTCTTCACAAACAGAAATTCATGCTCAATCTCAAGTCTATATCTTCAAGTGTTACATTCTTATACTATACTTCATAGAAATTCAATTTATAATATCAATATCAATGGCAGCATAAATTTTGGGAATTTATTTCAATAATCTCGCATAAACAGTATTTAAGATCCCTAACTCCATCACAACTACCATCCAAGCTCAAATTCTTTAATCTAGTCGCAAGAAATCACATAGCATGAAGAAGAAAGCTGAAAATTACTTACAAAAATAAACTGAAATAACTGCTGCCAAATCCAAAAGTTATTTTCATATTTTACACACTAGCTAACTCACTACCCTACTAGAACTTAGTTTACAACTTCACATATTCATCCTAAACACTATAATTCAAGGGACCAACTAATTAATTGCTGCTAGCTCAAGGAATTCAAAATTCTCTACTCAATACCCATAATATATCCACTGGTTTGCATATAACTTAATAAAATTCAATTTATAACTCATTCAAAATGGAAACAGTTCAATTTATAACTCATTCAAAATGGAAACAGTTCAATAATTCCTTCGTAGGATATTAAGAACTTGAGCATATAGCTAACTAGTTATTTTCAACCTAAAGAACCCTTAATCCTTCGTAAAGATTTATAATAGACGCAACAATAACATAACCATCTCAATATAGGAATCAGTTTATATACCAATTTAAAGAGCAAAAATCCGAAATTCCTAATCACATTCAATTAAATAGTAGCTACATATATAAATTTCTGCAATAGCTCAAGCATTAGCGACAATGTTGCTGTCATAATCATGCTCTATCTATTCTTAAACTAAAATTCCCTTGTTCATGCTCACTTATCCATTAATTTAACTAATAATTAAACTAAATGAGAGAATCATTTTTTTCCTTAAAAAAAAAAAATTGTTTAAACAGTAGGAGCTAGGGTCTAAATTTATGCAATAGTTTGATTCATGATTCAAAACCTCCATCTTTGATCAAGGAACTCATAAACTAAACTGATGAAGGTTGGAATTGACTTACCCAGCTGCGATACACGCCGAAAATCGAAATTTTACTGGTTAGAACAATCGGCAGCGGCTCCTTTGTTCAAAAGCCAATCCTGTCGATCCTAACTTGGTCGGAAATGAATAGGATGGTGGCTGGAGAAATGCTAGAGATGAGGAGAGGGCCTGTGATGAGCTGGTGAGAGGGCCTGTGATGAGCTGGTGTCGCCGGAAAGTCGAGGAGCAGGAGGCCCGACGCGATTTCCCGATCGAAGGAAGTCGCGGCTCTCCTGCGCCTTCTGTATACGCCAGAAAAGAAAGAAGAGAGAGGAAGCGAGGCCGGAGCTTTATCAATTTTAGGACAATTGATTCTATTATTACTATAAATCAAGAAAATGGAAAAGATAAAGAAAAAGATAGGATCAAAAGATTGCCTGGCCAACCTCAAGTTAAGTTTTCACAATATGGAGGTTATGTTACTGTGGATAAATTAGCTGGAAAAGCTTTATATTATTATTTTTTATTATTTTCTGAAAGCTAAAGAAAGTTTAAGAAACTCTTTGCCTCTTCTTCTGTGGGACTAAATGGAGGTTTTAATATATTCTTTTTTCCATTTTTGCTCCCTTTCGTGGTTCTAAAAATTCTTTAATTTCTGAAAATTAGTATTCTTTTTATTAGTTAATTTTTAATAATGTATAATATTACTGTCTGTTATTTAAAGCAATCATTAATATTTTTACAGGCCCAGGTTGTTCATCTTTGGCTTATGGATTGATGCAAGAGCTTGGACCATTTCGAGTATACAGTGATGGCAAAACACTTTACAAGAACAAGAACAGATTTTCATGGAATAATGGTAATTCCTTAATTATTTTACTTTTGAAATAACTTAAAGAATTGGACTATTTGTTTGTTATAATAATAATATTTATAAAAAATAATGAATTCCCTCTGAAAAATTAATTTTTAAAATTTAAATTAATTTTCAAAATTTAAATTAATAGTGTGCCACAATTACATTTCTCATGCACATTTCAATAAATCTTTTTGGGCATATTTTAATTTTTAATTTTTCTTTTTTTTTTTTTTTCAGTTGCAAATGTTCCGTTTCTGGAGTCTCCTGTTGGAGTAGGCTTTTCATACTCAAACAGGACATCAGATTATGAGAATTCTGGCGATAGATATACAGCAACAGAAAATTATTTGATTTTGGTAAATTGGCTTCAAAGATTTCCAGAATATAAAGGAAGAGATTTCTACATTTCTGGAGAAAGCTATGCAGGCCATTATGTTCCTCAGCTTGCACATACCATCCTTTACTACAACAAGAAGGCCAACAAAACCATTATCAACCAACAAAACCATTATCAACCTCAAAGGAATTGCAGTATGTGCCTTTCTAACATATAAAACATAATTTTACTCGGAAAAACGGTATTTTATACTGGAAAAGTGGAAACGTTTCCGAAACATAAAACGTTCATGGCTAGAAGTATGGCTAGAAGTTTCCGTGCATATAAATTATTGAAATTGAAGCTAACCGTATGTTTATATCTGTGAAAATGCAGATTGGAAATGCAGTGATAAATGATGAAACAGATACTCTAGGAATGTATACTTTCTTTACAACCCATGTTTTATCTTCACCAAAAACACTGCAAAAAATATAAAAACACTGTAATTTCTCACCCAAGTATATCAACCATCCATGCAAAGAGTGCAGAGAAGCTACTGAGAAGGCTGACAAATATTCTCAAGCTGTTGACATTTATAACATTAATGCTCCTTTGTGCTTTGATGAGAATATTACAGCTCACCCCAAGAAGGCTTCAGTAAGTTGATTAACACAATTTTTTTATAGATGCAGAAATGTGATTTTATATATATAACTAAAATTGGTTTGTTTTATCTTGCAGCTGGATAATTTTGATCCATGCAGTGACTATTATGTGCATGCTTATTTCAATAGGGCTGATGTGCAAGAAGCTTTGCATGCCAATGTCACTAAGCTTGATCATGATTGGGAACCATGTAGTCATGTAGTGATAGTTATTGATAGTGGACAGATAGCCCTTTCAAACAATTCTTGCCCTGCTCAAGGAGTTCATGGAAAATGGAGTAAGATCTTGGTTTATAGGTCAGTCTTCATACGAAAAAGAAAAAAAATTTTGCCTCCTCAAAGCAAAAGAAAAAGAATATAATTAAAAATGGAGTAAGAATCTTGGTTTATAGGTCAGTCTCATAAGAAAAAGAAAAAAAATTTGCCTCCTCAAAGCAAAAGAAAAGAATATAAATTATTACTAGGTTTTGAAAAATACAGATTCTTTTGATGTAATTTTTTTCATTCAGAATCAGATTTTGCTCCATAAAGTCACATTGCCATTATAGTTACTTATAAAATCTCAAATTCACTTGCAAATGCAAGTCATTTGCATCTCAGTGCAGACGACCTGTAGTTTTAGCTATAATGAACTCATGATTCTCAACCACCAATTGATTATCAACAGCCATTCTGAACAGAAGCAATTCATTTTTTTATATCTATTCTATTTTGGCTTAAAAATGTTGCATATATCAGTTATAGTTTTAGCTGCAAGCAAAAGTAAAAAGATTAATACCTCATTGTATTTCAGGGCTCCCTTCATTCTCTATTCCCTCTAGAGTTTGGAATATTCAGTTGTGAAATGGGGGATATTGGCAATAAAGCGCCAATAGTCTCCTTTCTCTTTTCTGCATCGTCTTTCCAGGAGGGGACACCTATGGATTGTCAAGCTTCCAAGTGTGGTCGGAAGGCCTTCCTTGGGAAAGGACTGGAGGTTAGGGCAATATCGAATTATTAAATCACCAAGAGAGGTGAGATGGTGAATGCCCCTGGATATTGATTTCAGATTTTTAAAATCTTCGATCTTAAGAGAGGTTAGGGAAGAGGGAAGCAGCAGGCCCTTCTCCTCTGGGAAGGAATCCATATCTGTACTTGGACATGACCCTCTGATTATGAGAGAGGTGAGTCTATTGAGTATCCACTCTGACATTGGCTGTTTCAGATTCTCGCAATGCGAGATTATAAGACTACCTAGTTTTGGGGGTAAACCGCCATCTGGAAAGGACACAAGACCTCCACAGTAATGTATTTCTAAACGTTGAAGAGATGTAAGATTTTGCATTTGATTGGGAAGAAATCTCAAATTCTCACAATGCCATATGGATAAAGAAGTAAGGTTTGGGGTTTGATTGGGAAGCAACCTCCAATTCCGACAGTTGGCGATGGTTAAATGGCAAAGGTTGGGGATGGCCAATCCACTTTCTGGGAAAGACTCCAACTGAGAGTCATCTATTGCTAATTCGGTGAGATGCGAGAACCTATTATGAAATGAATCCAAAAGTTGTGTCGTCCAAAAGCAAATTTCAATATTTTTAATTGAATAGGGAAATTCACCAATTGGAAGCGATGTAAGAGATGGACATCCTTTGACACGCACAACCTCAAGATGAGACATCTCATTCCTGGCGTTACTATCATGCACAATGCCCTTAGGCAAGGACTCCAGAGAATCACAATATTTGATTTCGAGACTTTTAAGACTACAAGGTAAACCTGCAGATGGGAAGGACACAAGGTTTCGGCACTGAAGGATTTTCAGCTCTCTAAGAGATGTGAGGGTTTGCAACCCATTTGGCAGAATCTTCAATTCATCGCAGTCCCATATCGACAAAATTTCAAGATTGCAAGGCAAATTCCCTTCCTCTCCTCCTACCAACGACACTAGCTTCTGACACCCTTGGATCTGTAAAGATTTCAAGCTAGAAAGTTTGTCTAAATTAGTTGAATCCCGCCACAGGTGTATCAATTGGCTGCAATCAGTAATCCACAGATACTCTAGCGCCACCAAGGACTGCGTAACCACTTGATGTAAATTTTCAAGCGCTGAAATACTCCAAATGGACAAGGTTCGAAGGGAACATAGATCATGCACACTTTCGAGAATAATATCTTGACATCCATCAATGTCCAAATGCTCAAGGGAAGGAAGGGAGGTAGGCAATGTCACAACCAATTTAGGACAATTCCTTATCCTAATTTCACGTAATCTAGGAAATTTTCTTGTAACCTCTTCATTGACGTCATCAGAGTGAGCCCATTGCTTCAACTTCAACATATCCGTAAATTCTAGAATCTCAAGAGACGGGGAAAGCTCAAGCCCTACTTCTAGCAGTTCATCCATGCCTTTGATGCTCAGCTTTTTCAGTTTACATAGTCTACCTAGTGGTGGCAGCGACGTAATATTCCGACAATCCCAAAGCTCTAGATCCACCATATTTGTGAATGCAGGATCTCCTATCCACAACGGAAATTGCTTACCGCCATAAAATTGAACCGAAAGCCTTTCCAACTTTTGATGAGGTTCTAGCAAGTTGAGAAACTGGAATTCATGATCCTCTTCGCGTGGTGAATCACGCAATTTATGGGTCCATACCAAAGCCAAATCACCAAGATTCTCAATCTTCTTTAAATCAACGAGATTCGCATCTTCAATCCTTGCCACATTCTGTAGCTCTTCAATACGAAGTTGTACTTCTAGATGAGGGAGCTTCATTAGCTCTCTAATTCCAAGGCAATTACTTCCTTTTCCCACGATAAACTTCGACAATGTTTGAAGATTTATCAAATTAGCTACCCCCAACGGCATCCTCTGCAAAGCATCCGTGCCTTTAAGATCGAGGTGCATCAAATTGATTAAAGCGCCAATGCCTGTGGGCAACTCAATAAGATTCCGACACTCACATAACTTCAGTGTCTGCAAGTTTTGAAGATTACTCAGTGAATTAGGTAATCTTATAATCCCAGTGTTGTAAGACAAGTCAAGATATCGTAAATGCTTTAAGGCGCCAATAATCTTATAATCCCAGTGTTGTAAGACAAGTCAAGATATCGTAAATGCTTTAAGGCGCCAATTGAACTTGGCAACTCTTCAAACTGGTATCGAGCTAGTGATAGCACCCTTAAACGTTTCAGTTTTGGCACTAGGTCATGCACCACTCTAATAGATAAAAAATTACCTCGCCATCGATCAGTGGATAATGCTAAGAATGTTCGCAGATTACTCATCTCATAAAAGTCTTCAAATCTTTGGTACTTGTCATACTTATGACAAACGAACGCTGAATGGCGAACGTTTGCATGTGATTTTATGCCCTTCAACTCATCATCATCCAAATGGAGGCATATTTCTCCACTTACAGATTTAGCTAGATCATTGAGTAGGTCATGCATTACATATCGTGATTTATTGCCAGTAGAATGTTGAAAAAAGGATCTCCATAATAAATCCTGGAAATATCGATGACCCCAGCGTTTCATTTGCTTCATTTCCTGTGCGTGCTGTAGAAATCCCTCTGCCATCCAGTGTAGAACCAACTCATCCTCATCGAATTCGTAATCTTTTGGAAAAATTGCACAATAAGCAAAACATTGTTTCAGATGAGATGGAAGATGGTGATAGCTCAACTTTAATGGTGATAGCTCAACTTTAATGCTGGAGAATGTCGCTTTTCTTCCTCCAAATGCCCGCTGGTTTAGCGACTTGTTCCCATGCACTCACGAGTTTGGTTTGACCTCGTAAGAACCTCCAATAGCTTTTTAGCTTGCAAAGGTAAGCCTTGACACCTTTTCCACCATCTTTTACCGTATTACTTTCTAGATCCAAGTGCTCTCAAAATTTGTTACTCCAAGAAGCATGATGGGGCAAACACAGACAGGCAATCATCAATTCCTCCACACTCTAAGTGTATAACTTTTTGATACTCCAAGAGCATGATGGGCAAACACAGACAGGCAATCATCATTCTCCAACACTCTAAGTGTATAACTTTGAATAGCACCCATCGTCCGTGAAACGCCAAGATTGCGAGTTGTGACGATAATTCTACTTTCTTTTGCCCCATTCTCAAACGGGCGAAGAAAGTCTGTCCAATGGTCATAATTCTCGTACCAAACATCATCTAGAACCATAAAAAACTTCTTCTCCGACAGCCTTGCCTTCAAGTTTAATTGAAGCGAATTAAAATCGTTGGAAGTAAGATCTCCACCAACCGACTGAAGAACTATTTTTGTAAGTCTAACCACGTCAAAATCTTCACCGACAGAAACCCAAGCCGTCAAATCAAACTTCTTTCCAGCTTCATTAAAGATAAGCTGCGCTAGAGTTGTCTTACCAATACCTCCCAGTCCAATTATAGAAATCAGAGCGACCCTTCCATCAGTCGATTCAGAATTCAAAAGTTCAAGAATCGCCTTCTTATCTTTCTCCCTCCCATAAATCTCGGCGTCATTCACCAAGCACGTCGCAGGAATTCTTTCCTTCAAACTACCGGTACTTTCTATCAAATCTAGTTCATTTCTTTGTGAGGTGATCTTTGCTAATTGGGAACTAATTCCCTTTATCTTGGAAACCATCTCTCTATTGAATTTAACAGCACGAATATTAGGGATGAGCTTTCGTACCCTACTTGAGAGCTTTCGTACCCTACTTGAACCAGTCACAGGTTTAGCTTTCAACTTGGATCGACGAGCCTCAAAATCAAACTCATCAAGAATGTCCTCCAAATCATATGCCAGGTTCCTCAACTGGCTTACCCACGTCTTCACCGCCCTGCTCACCATCTGCTTCTCCTCTGCATCCGCAAGAACCCCATAAATGATCTTCAACATCTCCTTCCACTTCCACTTGTTGATTTCAGTCAGCACATGTCCTTCACGGGCATAATTGAGCAAATCCTGGGAGCCTAACTTATGAAACAAAGACTCAAAGGCAGGTGCTAGAAGAGCACCTCCAATAGCAACTGCAATTTCCATCACAAATTAAGAGAGGATGACCAAAATTTTCAGCAGAAAATTCGAGCAGTTGAAGAATTGGTAGCAGTTGAAGAATTGGTTGGTGATTGAAACTGGAGTTGCAATATCAAAGACTCAAAAGGAAGGAAGATGCAATACCAAACAAAAAAATTGGTTGGTGACTGAAAGCGAGAAGCTAAAATGGCCAAGAAGAGTTATGTAATCTTCAAGAAAGGACGTTTACTTTAACTCTTGTACAATACCAATTTATTTTCTTCTTCCTACTCTCTGGTAACTTTCATAAACACGTGAAGAAAACAGCTTTTTCTGGTATTTGCGGTCCCATTTATCCAAATTGAAGTTGACAAGACAATCTTTAACAGGATTGTTGTCCACCCAATAAAAATGTCCAGAGGAGAAAAAACATATCCTTTGTTTCATGTAAAGTTAAAGAATTTAAAAAAGTTTCAATAAAAAAAAATGAAAAAATTTCTTTTTTCTATTTGATAAAACTTAAAAGGAAATTTTTGAAAAAATAAAAAAGAAAACGATTTCGTAATTTGTGAATTTACGGGTCAGCATTTCGCTAATTGTGTATTTAAGTAATATTTTTAACGCTAATTGTGTATTTAAGTAATATTTTTAACTGAAATTTTTAGTTTGATTTAATTAATCGAATTAATTTTTAATTGAACAGTTTTAATCGAATTAATTTTTATCATTAATTTAACTAAATTAATTGAAATTTTTTTTGCTTAACCAAACTGTTTTGGTGGAATTAATTAACTAAACTGAAATTAAATAAAATGAAAACTTGATTAATCAACCGAATTTAACCATTTTAATAACTATTTAATTAAAATAAAAAATAAAATATTTTTAATTTTATTATATACTTAATCAAACGACTTAATTTTGAAAGTTGATTAATTTAATTAATTCAGTTAAATTAATTTTTAATTTAACCTTTAACCCATAATCACATGTGGTATATAGATGGGAGGAGAATAAGAGTCTTGTCTCATCTTTCAACTGGAGTTACAGGAATTGGTAGACAAAGCAAAGCATAATGCTTGTTAATCCACTGCCTAGACTATAGGGATAAAACGAGAAAGAAATAGCCAATTATCTACTGAAAGAAGGGGAGTTGAAGTTCTCTGAGGGAAATAAAAGTTATCCCTTAGAACTCGCGGCTCCTGCATTAGTTTTTCAATAATCGAACTTCTAATCGAATATTTATTCATCGGTCCAAATCGATCTCATTAACCGAATCAATCGAATTAACCAAATTGACTGAATCAAATACTCTTCGTTACTTGTGATGAATCACGGGTATTGTGTTTGACCTAAAATGCATAATTGTTAATGGTAAAGAAAGCATTTACTTTGAGTAAACCATTAAAAATATCCTGTGCTTGGCAGTTTGTTATACTTGTATTTAGACATCCCAATTTCTCACTTTCGTTCTAAATTTTGCACTACATAGATAAATAAAAATTTAATTTTTTATTATATTGAAATATTTATTTTAGAAATTCTAGGGACTAAATAGTATTTTTCTTTTTGTTTAAACTCATAAATTATATTACCTAAAAACGACAATACATCTGATATTGGGTTTATTTTGTGAGCGTGTTTATTGTGTCGTTGCCGACGTTCACCCTTCCAGCTTTGTGAGATTTTCAGTCGCTCGTTTCCTCTGATCTTCTATGATTTGATTAACCCAGTTCACAGAGAAGATAATGAGCCCCACACCAGGCGGAAAGTGGTCGCCGGCGAAGAAGAGGAGCTGGAGAGGTCCGACCACAATCCAATTTTTGGAGCATGACATCCTTTGGTCCGACCAAAATCCAATTTTATCCAATTTTTGGAGCATGACATCCTTTGCATAATATTCTCAGTCCTGGACCTCTTTGACCTCGTTCGCTGTTCTGCTGTCTGCAAATCTTGGTAAATTCTGTTTTACTCTCCTTCTCTCTGCCTTCCCCAAATATTTGTGTATAATTTTGTTTTATTTTTTATTCTCTTTTATGCATTTAAAGGAATACAATAATCAAAGGATCAAAGTTACTGCAAGCGCTTTATTTGAAGCAGCAGAAGGATAATTATTTAGGAATGAAGGATAATTATGTAGGAATTTCAAATATAGATAGCGGTTCAGAGAAGACTTTAAATATGTACTTTGAGGAGCTAGCTATGAAGCATCATAGACAATCTTTAGTTCAAGCTTCTTCTGTTGATATTGACCAATGGAAAGGCCATTCACTTGGGTAATTATTAAAATTATCCTCTTCTTTTTTTTCTCCCCATTCATTTTCTTGTCAGCTAATTTTCAGCTGAATACAATTATATGTTTATTTTTCTGTTGAGTCGATAAAAAGGTATCAAATTTATTACGGAAAGATGACGAAATAATAAAAGGTTGATTTTTTTTTTTTTTTTTTTTTGAAGTATAATGTGGGGGTTTTTTATTTTAGTGGTATTATATGCAGTATATATGCAGGAGTTTGCAGCTTGTATATGTTAATTCTCTAACCTTGCTTTGTATTAGGGTTGATCAGTGTCGAATGAAGATGGGCTTGCTTCTTACTGGCGTGGGGGACAAGGTATGATCACTTTTTTAATTAAATATGGTGTCTGATAGGTGGGTTTTTTATTATAAGTCATATTTGTTATTTACCCTTTTATTAAAGCAGATTCTATTGGATGACTCTCTACTATTTCTGTTACATAGTTTTGGAATAATTTTCATATGGAATTCATTCCATTTTGCAAATGAATTTCATTAAAAAAATTCATTGATAAATGGAAATTCATGCTTGGATCATTCATAGAATTCATTCTAAATATGTTTTGATGTCTTGTACTTAAACTTCATTACCTTTAGTAACTTCTGTTCCTTTAAAGTTGAGAATTCATTTGCAAATTCTACCAATTTTTGTAGCATTTGGTTCAAGAAAAACCAATTCTGTAGAATTTAAAACATGGAATTCCAAATGAATTTTTATTTGTACCAAATTTGAAAAATTGGCTCTGTAAATGTCAATGAATCCCATGAAATTTCATGGAATTCATTTATGCCAAACAAGCTCTTAGTTTCTGTTTTGTTTGATTTCTTGGATAGACGACTAGATATTGTAATCTCATTTAGCCAACCTCAATTTTGGAGTAGTGGATTAGTTTGTGAATTAACAAGCTCATTTATTTGGATTAGTTTTAAAAAATTCGTTTACAAATCGGGTGCAGTGGGAGAAATTAAAGAAATATTGGTGGGATTCCACACCTTTTAATATCCTTCCATTTGAATTTTTGGTGACCTTCTCTTTTACATAGTTTTGAAATGGTGGCGTTAACCTACTGTTACTGATGACTTTAGTCTAATTATCGACCTGTTCACACACACACAATGTTTCGTATGTCATGTTTGACACCAGTAAAAGTTGTCTAAAGTACTTGCTAGCTATATGTTTGTTCTAGAACTTAAACTTATTTTGATGTGATTGCTTCTGTGGCATATCTCTGATGTTCTCCTAAATCAAAATGTGATATATGTTATATAACTCAATTGTGCTGACTTTTGTATAGTTATCATGGTAGGTTATGCGTCTCTGGTCATTAGAAACATACAATTGTATGGAAGAATATTCAATCCAAGATGCAAGCCCCTTAATTGACTTTGATTTTGATGAGAGCAAGGTACCTTTAGTAATTTGTCATTATTCTGAAGTATCTCATATTGGGAGGCATAAGGTACCTTTAGTAATTTGTCAAGGTACCTTTAGTAATTTGTCATTATTCTGAAGTATCTCATATTGGGAGGCATTGATGTAATGTGTCTGTTTTTATCCCAATTGCTTAATGCATGTTCTTGTAGATTGTTGGTTTGGTTGGCACACGAATATGCTTATGGAGGCGAAATGGAAAGATGACTACATTTCCCTCTCGTGAAGGCACGTTTATGAAGGGTTTATGCATGCGGTACAGAAGCAAATTTTGTTATTATGCTAATCTTTCTTGGAGCAATACTGGATTTTATATTCATTTATTTCACAGTTGAATTGTCTTGAGACTTCAACTTTGTGCAAGGTTGTGTGGTTTCTTTTGAGCAGACCAATAACTCGATGTATTCTTTGCTTGAAGTTACTTTGATCCAGAAGCTGTTGTTGGATGTGAGGATGGGACAGCTCGTGTTTTTGATATGTACAGTAGGAAATGTTCTAAAATCATTAGGTATGTACAGCTAAAATTTTCTTGTGTACAGTAGGAAATGTTCTAAAATCATTAGGTATGTACAGCTAAAGTTACTTTGATCCAGAAGCTGTTGTTGGATGTGAGGATGGGACAGCTCGTGTTTTTGATATGTACAGTAGGAAATGTTCTAAAATCATTAGGTATGTACAGCTAAAATTTTCTTGGTTGTTATTCATCAACCCACTCTAGAGCCCCACAAACATCGGATGCTTCGTGCATTAGATAATCGGATGCTAAATTCTATTACTTGAGTGAACATGCGAGAGAAGGTGGTCTGTTATGGTCAGACAATTAATTCTTGGAAAGCCATTTCAATTTCTGGAGGTGTGCAAAAAATGGATAGACTATTAGACACTGGCAAGTGAATAAATTGTTTAATAGAAGAATGCCTGTGAAATAGAAGAAAGTAGACTGTATTCTTATTATGTTCTTACATTTTGTAAAGATTTTTTTCTCTATGGATTCTATTTGGTTATGTTTTCATCTCCAAATTGTAGGATGCATCCAGAGCCTGTGACTTGCTTATGTTTGGGGGATGATCAGTTAATTCTTAGTGGTTCGTCACTAGGGAGGATCATGGTGTCTGGTTATTCATCTGATAAGTGGACAGCTACACTGAGATCCACTGATTCTACAGGTCGTACTGTTTTTCACTCAATCAAGAATAACTACGATTATGATTGCATTCTCATCATGTGTTCTTGCATTCTTTACAGTTATTCTTTCATTCCTTTTTTTAAGCTGTTGCTTTCTTGTCTTTTGGTTAATAACAGATGAGATATTCATAAGAAAAAAACAGTGGTTTCCTTGCAGCTTCTTCTTCAGGCTCTGAGTGCTTTTCTTGATTCCTAATCTGCCAGTTTGAGACATGATAAATTTTCCACTGCACCTTCTCTTTAACTAATAATGCACTGCACATTACAAGCGACTTGACATAATTCTGAATTTCTGATTCAACTTCCTGGTACAGGCATAAAGACTTTATGTTTCAACCCTCGTTCTCATCTAGTGTTTGCTGGAACAACAGCTGGATATACATCTTGTTGGGACCTCAGGTATCAATTCACTGTTCCCAGATGAATAACTTTTATTTTTCATTCCTCCGTAATATAATATCTGTGGTAGCAATAAGTAGGATATTTCAATCACTAAATTAGATGTTTCTGCCAGAGTTAAAAATGATGACTGGGTAGTTAGTGTACTTTGAATTCTGACCCAGCCTAAATTTTTGTCGGTGGCCTTCATTGTTGCGCTCTATGTGAATGTAGAATGAGATATTGACAAGCTATTTTCTTTTCTTTACTCTGCTGCTAGGACATTTGCTTGTGACGTATCCTGTCATCCATACACAGATTGAGTAGGCTTCCAGAGCGAAACTGTGATATAGGTTCTAGGACTTGTACTATCATAGCTAGTTTGTAGCAGAAGTAAACATGACAGAGGCTTTATCCTGTTACTCTGTAGGGTTGATTATCAAAATGGCTGCTCTGATAATTGATTTTGTTTTTGCCTTATTTCAGTATTAGGTCGAAACTGACTATGGCATATTTGTTATAGGAGCTCCTGCCCATGGTTGCAATTTGATTTTTTATTGTTATCTTGCAGGATGATGAGACAATTATGGGAGACACGAGTGAGTCCAAATGTTATATATTCTTTGCAGCACCTGACAAATGACAAATCAGCATTAGTAGCCGGTGGAATAGACGGGGTGCTGCGTATTCTGGATCAGGACTCAGGAGTTGTTCTCTCGAGCTATACTGTCGACCATGATACCTCATCAAGCTCCTCTAGATATGCACATGGAGTAATTGAAAGAAGAAAAGGGCGAAAACTCCCTAGTGACATCAACATTGATCAGATTCCTAGAAGTGATCGACCTTCAATCACTTGCCTGGCTGTTGGAATGAAGAAGGTGGTTACCACACACAATAGCAAGTACATCAGAGTATGGAAATTCAAGAAATGAGAGAATAAACTAATCCATGCATGCGAATTTGCAGTTTCTCTTTACTAGAATCTTTCATTGATACTAGAAATGCAAATATAGGTTTTTTCATATTTGGAATAAATTCAAAATTTAAAAATTTCTTTGCTTTTATTTCTTTTAATACTTGCATGAGGCATCCAAATATATATATATTATTTTCATTTATACTTTATTACTCGTTGTAGTAATGATTATAGAATTTGCTAAAGTTTTTCGCTTGATGTATCTACATGATGTAAATGATCTTTTTTATTATTTTTTTTGTTAATATATTTTTTTGAGATTATTAATTTTTATATGCACTTCTTGGGTGAATGCATATTGGCATTGATCCATTAATATATTTTTTTGAGATTATTAATTTTTATATGCACTTCTTGGGTGAATGCATATTGGCATTGATCCACCTTTTTTATAATTTAGTTTTCAAATTAAAATATAAATAAATTAGATTGCCATATGCCTAAATGAAATATGAAATATTAATAGTTATTGTCTTATTGCACAAAAAAAAAAATATTAATCATGTGAAAAATAGCATTAATAATTTCCAACATTCGAATTTTTGTAGGTTTTTTTAATTCTTGTAATGAACTGTAAGACAATAAATATTTTTGTAATTTTTATAAATTATAAAATAAAAAATAAGATCAATATTCGAAATTTGAAATTGCAACTGAAAATAGAGTTTTATTTAAATATTATCTCAATTCAAGCGTTGGTAATTAGCTAAATCAAAACAAGCATTCATAATTAGTTAAATCAAAAGAAATTAGCATATGTGATTTGGAAAATGAATTGCATTTTCCTCTTGCTATATTGTTAATGTTCCAAATTATTCCTTCTCCACCTAATCCTTCTAGCCATAGCATCATCAAAAAAGAAAAAACAAAAAAAGTACCTAATTGGCCTTTATTTGAGAGAGACATTCATGGAAAGGACTCTGCTTTATTGCTTCATTAATTATTTTATGTTTCTTGTTTTGTAGAGTTGGAATATAATACAAACAGTCAAAATGGCAATGAAAAGTCAAAGTCTTGGCCTCTAATCTACTCCATAACCCACTAGATAAAATCTTCATTTTTTGAGCATGGAAGAAATAATCAATAATTGAAGAGTTTCCTATATGTTATGATTACATACACAGTGCCTGTCCTATTCAATGTATTCCTTCAAAGTTCAAACCTTTTTTGGCTTTTTAAAGAGAGAGAGATGGCTTTATGCAATTTTGAAGATGACTTTCTTGATGGTATTTATTACATTATAAATTCAAATTTCAATAAAACATTTCATCTTTCTGTTTTGAATATTTAGAAGTTGCTAATTTGATGAGGAACTCTAATATAATTTCAATTAGGAAAAAGAAAAAAAAAAAAAAAAAAAAAAAAAAGAAAAAAAAAAAAAAAAAAAAAAAAAAAAAAAAAAAAAAAAAAAAAAAAGGAGCAATTGCGATGTAGTCTCTAGGTTTTACTCGAATATGTATGGATATTAGTATTTTAAATTATACTATTTAGTCCTTCATTACAATTTTATTATACTATAAAATACAATTGTTAATTTTTTCCTTTAAGTGACTGTGAAATGTCAAAAATAACCTCTAAACATAATTATTATGTAGTCCTTATGGTTTGATGAAATACACTAATAAAGATCTCAATTTTCATAAGTTTACTCTATTTAGTCCTTATATAGTAGTTACTTTCAAGGGTGTTTGATATTTCATAATTGCTTAATAAAAAAACTAACTGTTTGAACTTATAGTATAACAAAATTATAATACAGGGATTAAATAGTGTAATTTTGAAAGCCGAAGTCCTTATTAATGTATTTAATAAAAATTTAAGGATAATATAGTAATTATCCAAAAAAAAAAAACTTGCATCCTTGGTGTTGGTGAAAAAAATTTAATCAGATTATACTTAATTTAATAATTTTTAAAAAAATTACGAAATCAATCAGATTATACTTAATTTAATAATTTTTAAAAAAATTACGAAATCAATCAGATTATACTTAATTTAATAATTTTTAAAAAAATTACGAAATCAATCAGATTATACTTAATTTAATAATTTTTAAAAAAATTACGAAATCAATCAGAATTTTTGATAAGTTTGTGCAATATTTTAATGAAGGCAAACCTAACACACCATTTCTGTTCTAAGCATTATTTTATTTAAGAAAAACCCATATTTTAATTCTTTAACTATGATAAGGAAAAAAAAAAAAAGAATTGATTAATATAAAATGCACAACTCATATGGAGATTGCATAAACAGATACTAAAATTACATTAAACTATGGCAAGTGTTTTTAATTTACCATAAAACTGAACAAAAATAAATAAATAAATAAATAAAATAATGGAGGAACTCTTTAATCAAGGAATAAGGAATATCCTAAAATGAATATGCAAATATGATAATGTTAAATTGTCTCATCTCTAGCTTGATTAGCTTGAATTCTGAATTACTGGACCCCAAATTGAAAGGGACTATAGTAATAGTACATTTTTGACAGTATGTTCAATCTGTGACCACAAATTTTAATTTGCTTCTGCACATTTTCCTGGAAAAATCTTGCCTTGGCTTATGAACTATGATGCAAACCGCCGGGGTACTCTAGGCGTCGGAACCACCACATCGCGGCCAGATTTTATCAATTCTTGGCGTTCTTTGATTGTTTTATCGAATAATCTGTTGTCAGGATTTTCTGCATAACAAACATGAATTTTCTGCATAACAATGTTGTCAGGATTTTCTGCATAACAAACATAGTAGCAGCTCACACAGGCATGGGGCAATGCCATAGCAATTCTTGTCTGTAAATCATATAGTTAGAAAACAAAGTTAATTAACTAGCTGAGTCAATAAAGAATCTTATAAAACATTATAGAATACCCAAATGGCCACAGATGAAATGAAACTGATAAAAAAAATAAAATAAACAAAGAAATATTAATTATTATTTATTTAGTTTTAAAAATTAAAAACTTTTACCCTCTACTACCTATAGGTCAAATTTATTATTCAAAAATATTAATTACATTTAATTAGTTTGCGTGAAAATAGAAACAAGCATAATTTTAAAAGATGGAGGGAATAATAACTAATATTGATCTAAATTAGAAAATCAGAAAACAAAATCCTTCTATAGATACTTTCTCTCCATTGCGCACACGCACACCCCTATACTTATATAAACACATTATTTGGATTCAAGAAACAAAATTCCAAAAAATCAAAAACCCTAAAACCTTTTCCTGCAATGGGGAAAAACCCATGTTTGATATTCCTGTTCTTTTTCATTTTTTCTTATTTAACATCTCAGAGCCATAAAGCCATAATGCAGAGGCAAAGTGAAGTTTCTTGGCAATCTTTACAAATCCAAGCTTAATGGGAATTTCCTGGTATGGACACAAGCATACTTTAAGGACAATTGAATTAATTGATTCTATTATTACTATAAATCAAGAAAATGGAAAAGATAAAGAAAAAGATAGGATCAAAAGATTGCCTGGCCAACCTCAAGTTAAGTTTTCACAATATGGAGGTTATGTTACTGTGGATAAATTAGCTGGAAAAGCCTTATATTATTATTTTGCTGAAGCTCAAGAAATTTCTAAGAAATCTTTGCCTCTTCTTCTGTGGCTAAATGGAGGTATTTAGTGTATTCTTTTTCCATTTTTCTCCCTTTTGTGTTCTAAATTTATTTATTTCCTGAAAATAGTATTCTTTTTATTATGTTAAATTTTAATTTGAATGTATAATATTACTGTCTGTTATTTAAAGCAATCATTAATATTTTTACAGGCCCTGGTTGTTCATCTCTGGCTTATGGGTTGATGCAAGAGCTTGGACCATTTCGAGTATATAGTGATGGCAAAACACTTTACAAGAACAGATTTTCATGGAATAATGGTAATTCCTTAATTATTTTACTTTTGAAATAACTTAAAGAATTGGACTATCTGTTTGTAATAATAATAATAATATTTATAAAAAATAATGAATTCCCTCTGAAAAATTAATTTTCAAAATTTAAATTAATAGTGTGCCAACAATTACATTTCTCATGCACATTTCAATAACATTTCTCATGCACATTTCATAAATCTTTTTGGGCATATTTTTTAATTTTAATTTTCTTTTTTTTTTTTTTCCAGTTGGCAAATGTTCCTTTTCAGTTGCAAATGTTCTGTTTCTGGAGTGTCCTGTTGGAGTAGGCTCTGAGATTTATAAAGGAGACTTTACTTTTGCTACTGTGAGAGGGGCTGGACATGAAGTGCCTGCCTTCCAGCCTGCAAGAGCACTCTCACTTATTCACCACTTTCTTCTTGGCAAACCTCTTCCAAAAATTTCATAATTTATGTAACTCAATTTTTTTTTTTATTACTAGAATTTTATTGTGTTAATTTATTATAAACAATAGCCAAATTATTAGGCTTAAGTTTATTGGATTTATGCGCAACAAGCCGTAATAGAGTAGTGGTAAATAAATATATAACCTGACTATAAATTCTAGTTCAAATTTCCCTCCTTAACGCAAAAGAAAAAGAAAATAAATTATTACTAGGTTTTGACACGTAAAGATTCTTTTGATGTAATTTTTTCATTCAGAATCAGATTTTACTCAATAAAGTCACATTGCCAGTATAGTTACTTATAAAATCTCAAATTCACTCTTGACTGGGTGTTTTGTAGGAAGGATGGACCCTATTCCAGTTTAAAAAAAAAAAGGATAATTTCCATCTGAAAAATTGTCAACCAATGTCTGTAAACTTTCTTCTCTGATAAATCTTTGTTAATAAATAAACAAATATGCTCATATAAGTATCTCAGCATAGGAAACAGAATTCTTTTCTGATAAATTGGTAACAACTGCTCATTGTAGTCATATGTAGCAAAAACAAGATCGTAGTTTCTTTTTTTTTTTTTTTTTTTTTTTTTTTTTTTTTTTTGAAAATTAAAATTTATTATTAAAACATGAAAAACTTAACATAAACTAAATCCATCTAAACCCGACCAAACCAGGCCCTCCGCCCATACACCCCTCCCTAAAGGATTGAAATGCTAAGATCCATGAAACCGTTATTCCTTAAAAAACCCAGCAAAGGGGGGGGAAAAAAAAAAAAAAAAAAAAAATTGGATTTGAGACGATTAATGAAATGCTCGATGTCCTGGCCTAAGCAGTCCCGGCTTTTGCAGACCTGAAGAAACAATTGCATTATTTGCAGCCAAGATTTGATATGTATAAAATCAGCTCATGTCAGTGTCGGAACAATGAAAGAATAAAACCTATAGAAACTTTTCCAATTTATGCATTATGAGTTAGAACCAACTGAACAGAACATGTAATTCATTCTCAACCACCAATTCATTCTCAACCGCCATTCTGAACAGAATGTGGTAATATGGTTCCGCCATTCTGAACAGAATGTGGTAATATGGTTGAAACTTGAAACACCACATAATTGAATGCAATTAATTTTTTTATATCTATTCTATTTTGGCTTCAAAATGTTGCATATATCAGTTATAGTTTAAGCTGCAAGCAAAAGTAAAAAGATTATACCTCATTTTATTTTATGGTAGGGGATATTGGCAATAAAGCGCCAATAGTCTCCTTTCTCTTTTCTGCATCGTCTTTCCAGGAGGGGGCACTCGAAGATTGCCAACCTTTCAAGCGTGCTCGGAAGGCCTTCCTTGGGAAAGGACTGGAGTTTAGGGCACTTTCGAATTACTAATGTATCAAGAGAGGTGAGATGGTGAATGCCCCTGGATATTGATTTCAGATTTTTAAAATCTTCGATCTTAAGAGAGGTTAGGGAAGAGGGAAGCAGTAGGCCCTTCTCCTCTGGGAAGGAATCCATATCTGTACTTGGACATGGCCCTCTGATTGTGAGAGAGGTGAGTCTATTGAGTATCCACTCTGACATTGGCTGTTTCAGCTTCTTGCAACGCGAAATTGTAAGACTACCTAGTTTTGGGGGCAAACCGCCATCTGGAAAGGACACCAGACCTCCACAGTTACTTACTAGTAAACGTTGAAGAGATGTAAGATTTTGCATTTGATTGGGAAGAAATCTCAAATTCTCACAACTCCATATGAATAAATAAGTAAGGTTTGGGGGTAAACCCTCATCCGAAAAGGACACCAAACCTGCACAATTAGTTATCGCTAACTTGAGAAGAGATGTGAGATTTTGGATTTGATTGGGAAGCAACCTCAAATTTTCACATTTTCGTATGATTAAATCCCTAAGGTTGGGGATGGCCAATCCACTTTCTGGGAAAGACTCCAACTCAGACCCATATATTATTAATGTGGTGAGATGCGAAAACCTATTATGAAACGACTCCGAAAACCTATTATGAAACGACTCCAATAGCTGTGTCGTCCAAAAGCAAATTGCAATTTTTTTAATTGAATAGGGAAATTCACCAACTAGAACCGATGTAAGAGATGGACAGCTATTGACACCCACAACCTCAAGATGAGACATCTCATTCCTGGCGTTACTATCATGCACAATGCCCTTAGGCAAGGACTCCAGAGAATCACATTTTACGATTTTGAGACTTTTAAGACTACAAGGTAAACCTGCAGATGGGAAGGACACAAGGTTTCGGCACCGTTGAATATTCATCTCTCTAAGAGATGTGAGGGTTTGCAACCCATTTGGCAGAATCTCCAATCCATCGCATTCCCTTATCACTAAAATTTCAAGATTGCAAGGCAAATTCCCTTCTTCTCCTCCTACCAATGACACTAGCTTCTGACACCCTTCGATCTGTAAAGATTTCAAGCTAGAAAGTTTGTCTAAATTAGTTGAACCCCGCCACAGGTGTATCAATTGGCTGCAAAAATGCACGAAAATCCACAGATGCCTTTAGGCGCCACGAAGGACTGCGCAACCAACTTGATGCAAATTTTCAAAGCGCTGGAAATACTGCAATGGACAAAGGTTTGAAAGGGAACATAGATCAATGCACACCTTTCGTAGAATAATATCTTGACATCCTACCAAATGTACAATTTCATCAAGGAAGGAAGGAGGTAGGCGAATGTCACAACCAATTTTTAGGACAATTTTCCTATCCAAAATTTTACGTAGTCCTAGAAAATTTTCTTGTAACCTCCAGCATTGACGTCACCAAAGAGTGAGCCTCATTGCTTCAAACTTCAACATATCCTCCAATTTCTAAGAATCTCAAGAGACGGGGAAAGCTCAAGCCCTACTTCTACGCAGTTCATCCATGCCTTTGATGCTCAGCCATTTCAGTTTACATAGTCCTACGCTAGTGGTGGCAAGCGAGGTAATATTCTGAACACCAAAGGTTTATGAAGCCAACCATATCTTGTGAATGCAGGATCCCTATACACAATGGAAATTCCTTACCGCCATAAAAACCGAACGGCGAAAGCCCCTTTCCAAACTTTTGAATGAGGTTCCTAGCAAGTTGAGAAACCTGGAATTCAATGATCTCTTCGCAATGGTGAATCACGCAATTTACGGGTCCATACCAAGGGCCAAATCACCAAGATTCTCATCTTCTTTTAAATCAACGAGATTTGCCATCTGCAAATCCTTGCCAACATTTCTGGTAGCTTTTCAATACTAAGTTTGGTCCTTCTAGATGAGGGAGAATTTCATTAGCTCTCTAATTCCGCAAGGCAATTACTTCGCTTTTCCCAACGGATAGAACTTAGACAATGTTTTGAAGATTTGTCAAATTTGCTAACCCGCTAATGGCAATTCAATCCTGCAAAGCATGCGTAAATTCTAGATCGAGATGCGCCAAAATTGATTAAAGGCGGCCAATGCCCTGTGGGCAACTCAATAAGATTCTCACACGAACATAAATTCAGTGTCCTGCAAGTTTTTGAAGAATCCAACTCAGTGAATTAGGTAAATCTTTTAATCTGCAACTGTTGTAAAGACAAAATCTTATAATCCCAGTGTTGTAAGACAAGTCAAGATATCGTAAATGCTTTAAGGCGCCAATTGAACTTGGCAACTCTTCAAACTGGTATCGAGCTAGTGATAGCACCCTTAAACGTTTCAGTTTTGGCACTAGGTCATGCACCACTCTAATAGATAAAAAATTACCTCGCCATCGATCAGTGGATAATGCTAAGAATGTTCGCAGATTACTCATCTCATAAAAGTCTTCAAATCTTTGGTACCTTTCATAGCGATGACAAGTGAATGCTGAATGGCGAACGTTTGCATGTGATTTTATGCCCTTCAACTCATCATCATCCAAATGAAGGCATATTTCTCCACTTACAGATTTAGCTAGATCATTGAGTAGATCATGCATCACATATCGTGATTCATTGTAAGTAGATTGTTGAAAAAAAGATCTCAATAATAAATCCTGAAAATATCGATGACCCGAGCCTTTCATTTCCTTCATTTCCTGTGCGTCCTGTACAAATCCCTCTGCCATCCACTGAGAACCAACTCATCCTCATCGAATTCGTAACCTTTTGGAAAAATTGCACAATAAGCAAAACATTGTTTCAGATGAGATGGAAGATGGTGATAGCTCAACTTTAATGCTGGAAGAATGTCGCTTTTCTCCTCCCAAATGCGGCTGTTTAGCACTTGTTCCCATGCATCGCGAGTTGATTGACCTCGTAAGAGACCTCCAATAGCTTTAGCTGCCAAAGGTAAGCCTTGACACCTTTCCACAATCTTCTTACCTATTGCTTCTAGATCTAAGTGCTCCTCAAAATTTGTTACTCCAAGAGCGTGATGGGCAAGTGCTCCTCAAAATTTGTTACTCCAAGAGCGTGATGGGCAAACACAGACAGGCAATCATCATTCTCCAACACTCTAAGTGTATAACTTTGAATAGCACCCATCGTCCGTGAAACGCCAAGATTGCGAGTTGTGACGATAATTCTACTTTCTTTTGCCCCATTCTCAAAGGGGAGAAGAAAGTTTCTCCAATGGTCATAATTCTCGTTCCAAACATCATCTAGAACCATAAAAAACTTCTTCTCTGACAGCCTTGCCTTCAAGTTTAATTGAAGCGAATTCAAATCGTTGGAAGTAAGATCTCCACCAACCGACTGAAGAACTGTTTTTGTAAGTCTAACCACGTTGTAAGTCTAACCAAACGTCAAAATCTTACCGACAGAAACCCAAGCCGTCAAATCAAACTTCCTTTTCCAGCTTCATTAAAGATAAGTTGCCCTAGAGTTGTCTTAACGACTAGAGTTGTCTTACCGATACCTCCCATTCCAACTATAGAAATCAGAGCGACCCTTCTATCACTTGATTCAGAATTCAAAAGTTCAAGAATCGCCTTCTTATCTTTCTCCCTCCCATAAATCTCGGCGTGATTCACCAAGCACGTCGCAGGAATTCTTTCCCACAATTTAACGGGCCTTTCACTCAAATCTAGTTCATTTCTTCGCGAGGTGATCTCTTCTAATCGGGGAGTAGTTGCCTTTATCTTGGAAATCAACTTTTTATTGAATTTAACAGCACGAATATTAGGGGTGAGCTTTCGTACCCTACTTGAACCAGTCATAGGTTTAGCTTTCAACTTGGATCGACGAGCCTCAAAATCAAACTCATCAAGAATGTCCTCCAAATCATACGCCAGCTTCCTCAAATCGCTTACCCACATCTTCACCGACCTGCTCTCCATCTGCTTCTCCTCTGCATCCTCAAGAACCCCATCAATTCTCTCCAACATCTCCTTCCACTTGTTGATTTGAGTCAGCACACGTCTTTTACGGGCGTAATTGAGCAAATCCTGGGAGCCTAACTTATTAAACAAAGACTTAAAGGCAGGTGCTAGAAGAGCACCTCCAATTGCAATTGCAATGTCCATCACAAAGAGAGGATGACCAAAATTTTCAGCAGAAAATTCGAGCAGTTGAAGAATTGGTTGGTGATTGAAACTGGAGTTGCAATATCAAAGACTCAAAAGGAAGGAAGATGCAATACAGCAGTTGAAGAATTGGTTGGTGATTGAAACTGGAGTTGCAATATCAAAGACTCAAAAGGAAGGAAGATGCAATACCAAACAAAAAAATTGGTTGGTGACTGAAAGTGAGAAGCTAAAATGGCCAAGAAGAGTTATGTAATCTTCAAGAAAGGACGTTTACTTTAACTCTTGTACAATACAAATTTATTTTCTTCTTCCTACTCTCTGGTTACTTTCAAAAACACGTGAAGAAAACAGCTTTTTCTGGTATTTGCGGTCCCATTTATCCAAATTGAAGTTGACAAGACAACCTTTAACAGGATTGTTGTCCCCCCAATAAAATTGTCCAGAGGAGAAAAAGCATATCCTTGTTCCATGTAAAGTTAAAAGAATTTTAAAAAGTTTCTTTTAAAAAAAATGAAAAATTTTCTTTTTCTATTGGATAAAACTTAAGGAATTTTTTTGAAAAAATAAAAAAGAAAACGATTTCGTAATTTGTGAATTTACGTGTCAGCATTTCGCTAATTGTGTATTTAAGTAATATTTTTACTCGAAATCAAAGTTTTCTGAAATTTTTATTTTGACTTAACTAAATTTAATAAATTAATTTTTAATTAACTTTTTTTAATCGAATTAATTTTAATCATTAATTTAAATAAATGAATCGAAATTTTTTCTACTTAACCGAACCGTTTTGGTTGAATTAATTAATTAAAATGAAGTTGAAGAAAATAAAAACTTGATTAAATTGAATTTAACTGAAATAAAAATTAACTGAACATTTTAATAACTATTGAATTAAAATAAAAATTGAAATATTTTTAATTTTATTATATATTTAATCAAAACGATTTAATTTTAAGAGTCGATTAATTGATTAATTCAGTTAAATATACCAATAAGCACGTGTGGTATATGGGCAGGAGGAGAATAAGAGTCTTGTCTTATCTTTCAACAGGAGTTAAAGGCTCTCCTATAAGAACTCTTACAAGAATTGGTAGACAAAGCAAAGCATAATTCTTGTTAATCCACTGCCTAGACTATAAGGATAGAACGAGAAAGAAATAGCCAATTATCTACTGAGAGAAGGGGAGTTGAAGTTCTCTGAGGGGAAATATATACCTTACTCCTTAAAGTTATCCTTTAGAGCCCACAGCTCTTGCATTAGTTTTCAATAATTGAATTTTTAATCCAACATTTATTCACCGGTCCAAATTGACCTAATCAAATGCTCATCCTTATTTGCGATGAATCATGGGTATAGTGTTTGATGTAAAGTGCATAATTGTTAACGGTAAAGAAAGCATTTATTTCGAGTAAATCATTAAAAATATCCTATACCTGGCAGTTTGATATACTTGTATCCAGACACTCCAATTTCTCACTTTCGTTCTAAATTTTGCGCTAGATAGATAAATAAAAATTTAATTTTTTATTATATTGAAATATTTATTTTAGAAATAGTTTTTTTTTTTTTTTTTTTGTTTAAGCTCATAAATTAAATTACCTAAAAACCACAATACATCTCATATTGGGTTTATTTTGTGAGATTGACACATGATTGATGTGTGAAGACAAATTAAAATCGGTCTTCACATGGGAGATTATCAAAGTATGTTGGCAGTGGGACCTACGCGTTCTTGAAAATAAATGAAAGGAAGAAAGTCCTAACGCGTTTCCTTGAAAAAATGAAAGGAAGAAAGTTTAGTCAACAAAGGAAGAAAAAAAAATAATAAATAAACATGTGCATTTGTGCAAATTGGAATTGGTTGGCCAATTTGCATTTGAATTGTACAGCTCATTCACTCTTCACCCTATTTTCTCTCCTATAAACAGAGAGAGAATTGGTGGCCAATTTGCATTTGAATTGTACAGCTCATTCACTCATTCACCTATTTTCTCTCCTATAAACAGAGAAGAGAATTTGGATCTACTTACACAAAAAAAAAAAAACACCAACAAGCATATTAGTAAATGAGAGAGTGAGAGCAATTGTAAGAAAAAAAAATAGAGAAATTATCCAAAAAGAAAAATTAAGTCTAATTTTTCGGATATTCTTGGATAGAGAATTGTGAGTGTATGTAAATACTTTATTTATTTTTCTCCTATGAAAAGATCTATGGCAATTCGGAGATATAATAAGATTGGCCGAACTTCGTTATTAAATCGTGTGTTATTATTTTACTCCCTTATAAACCTGATTTATCAGGATTTTGTGTTTTTTTTTTTTTTTTCACTAACAGGAAGGACGTTTACTTTTAACTGTTGTACAACACAAATTTATTTTCTTCTTCCTACTCTCTGGTTACTTTCATAAACGCGTGAAGAAAACAGCTTTTTCTAGTATTTGCGGTCCCCATTTTCCAAATTGAAGTTGACAAGACAGCCTTTAACAGGATTGTTGCCCCCCCAATAAAATTGTCCAGAGGAGAAAAAGCATATCCTTTGTTTCATGTAAAGTTAGAAGAATTTTAAAAAGTTTTATTAAAAAAAAATGAAAAAATTTCTTTTTTCTATTGGATTAAACTTAAAAGGAATTTTTAAAAAAATAATAAAAAAGAAAACGATTTCGAACTTTGTGAATTTACGGGTCAGCATTTTGCTAATTCTACTTATATAAATAGCATTTTTAGATGAAATAAATTTTTTCTAAAATTTTTATTTTGACTTAACTAAATTTAAGCGACTTAATTTTTTAATCGAATTGTTTTGGTCGAATTAATTTTAATCATTAATCTAAATAAATTAATCGAAATTTTTTTTGAACTTAACCGAACCGTTTTGATCGGATTAATTTCAATCATTAACCAAATGGAAGTTAAAAAAAAAGAAAAATTTGATTTATCGATCGAATTTAACCGAAATAAAGATTAACCGAACTTTTTGATCACTATTTAATTAAAATAAAAATTGAAATATTTTTAATTTTTAATTTTATTATATATTTAATCAAAATGATTTAATTTTGAGAGTTGATTAATTTAATTAATTTAATTAAATTAACTTTTAACCGAATTTTTAGCTTATACTCGCATGTGGTATATGGGCGGGAGGAGAATAAGAGTCTCGTCTCATCTTTTAGCTGGAGTTAAAGCTCTCATGTAAGAACTCTTACAGGGATTGGTAGACAAAGCAAAGCATAATCCTTGTTAATCCACTGCCCAATACTATGCGGATCGAACGAGAAAGAAGTAGCCAATTATCTTATGAAAGAAGGGGAGTTGAAGTTCTCTAAGGGGGATTATCATACCTTACTCTACAAAGTTATCCCTTACGGCCCACGGCTTCTGCGTTAATTTTATTTAATCGAATTTTTAACTGAACATTTATTCATCGGATCAAATTGATCTAATTAATCGAATCAATCGAATTAACCAAATTGATCGAAGTAAATACTCACCCTTACTTGTGATGAATCACCGGGCATTGTGTTTGATGTAAAGTGCATGACTGTTAATGGTAAAGAAAGTATTTGTTTGAGTAAACCATTTTAAAATATCATGTACTTAGCATTTTGTTATACTTGTATCCAGACACTCTAATTTCTCACTTTCTTTCTAAATTTTGCACTATATAAATAAATAAAAATAAAAATTTTATTATATTGAAATATTTATTTTAGAAATTCGAGGGACTAAATAGTATTTTTTTTTCTTAAACTCGTAAATTAAATTACCTAAAAACGACAATACATCTTATTTTGTGAGTGTGTTTATTGTGTCGTTGCCGAAACGACGTTCACCCTTCCAGCTTTATGAGATTTTCAGTCGCTCGTTTCCTCTGATTAACCCAGTTCACGGAGAAGATATGAGCCCCACACCAGGCGGAAAGTGGTCGCCGGCGAAGAAGAGGAGCTGGAGAGATCCGACCACAATCCAATTTTTGTAGCATGACATCCTTTGCATAATATTCTCATTCCTGGACCTCTTTGACCTTGTTCGCTGTTCTGCTGTCCGCAAATCTTGGTAAATTCTGTTTTACTCTCCTTCTCTCTGCCTTCCCCAAATATTTGTGTATAATTTTGTTTTATTTTTTATTGGTAAATTCTGTTTTACTCTCCTTCTCTCTGCCTTCCCCAAATATTTGTGTATAATTTTGTTTTATTTTTTATTCTCTTTTGTGCATTTAAAGGAATACAATAATCAAAGGATCAAAGTTACTTCAAGCGCTTTATTTGAAGCAGCAGAAGGATAATTATGTAGGAATTTCGAAGGATAATTATGTAGGAATTTCAAATATAGATAGCGGTTCAGAGAAGACTTTAAATATGTACTTTGAGGAGCTAGCTATGAAGCATCATAGACAATCTTTAGTTCAAGCTTCTTCTGTTGATATTGACCAATGGAAAGGCCATTCACTTGGGTAATTATTAAAATTATCCTCTTCTTTTTTTTCTCCCCATTCATTTTCTTGTCAGCTAATTTTCAGCTGAATACAATTATATGTTTATTTTTCTGTTGAGTCGATAAAAAGGTATCAAATTTATTACGGAAAGATGACGAAATAATAAAAGGTTGATTTTTTTTTTTTTTTTTTTTTATATGTGGGGGTTTATTTAGTGGGTATTATATATGCAGGAGTTTGCAGCTTGTATATGTTAATTCTCTAACCTTGCTTTGTATTAGGGTTGATCAGTGTCGAATGAAGATGGGCTTGCTTCTTACTGGTGTGGGGGACAAGGTATGATCACTTTTTTAATTAAATATGGTGTCTGATAGGTGGTTTTTTTATTATAAGTCATCTTTGTTATTTACCCTTTTATTAAAGCAGATTCTATTGGATCACTCTCTACTATTTCTGTTACATAGTTTTGGAATAATTTTCATATGGAATTCATTCCATTTTATAAATGAATTTCATTAAAAAAATTCATCAATAAATGGAAATTCATGCTTGGATCATTCATAGAATTCATTCTAAATATGTTTTGATATCTTGTACTTAAACTTCATTAACTTTAGTAACTTCTGTTCCTTTAAAGTTGAGAATTCATTTGCAAATTCTACCAATTTTGTTAGTATTTGGTTCAAGAAAAACCAATTCTGTAGAATTTAAAACATGGAATTCCAAATGAATTTTTATTTATACCAAATTTGAGTTTATGAATTAAAAAGTTCATTTACAAATCGGGTGCACTGGGAGAAATTAAAGAAAGATTGGTAGGATTCCACACCTTTTAATATCCTTCCATTTGAATTTTTGGTGACCTTCTCTTTTACATAGTTTGAAATGGTGGCATTAACCTACCGTTACTGATGACTTTAGTCTAACTATCGACCTGTTCACACACACACACACACACAATGTTTTGTATATCATGTTTGACACCAGTAAAAGTTGTCTAAAGTACTTGCTGGCTATATGGTTGTTCTAGAACTTAAACTTATTTTGATGTGATTGCTTCTGTGGCTTATCTCTGATGTTCTCCCAAATCAAAATGTGATACATGTTATATAACTCAATTGTGCTGACTTTTGTATAGCTATCATGGTAGGTTATGCGTCTCTGGTCATTAGAAACATACAATTGTATGGAAGAATATTCAATCCAAGATGCAAGCCCCTTAATTGACTTTGATTTTGATGAGAGGAAGGTACCTTTAGTAATTTGTCATTATTCTGAAGTATCTCATATTGGGAGGCATTGATGTAATGTGTCTGTTTTTATCCCAATTGCTTAATGCATGTTCTTGTAGATTGTTGGTTTGGTTGGCACACGAATATGCTTATGGAGGCGAAATGGGAAGATAAGTACATTTCCCTCTCGTGAAGGCACGTTTATGAAGGGTTTATGCATGCGGTACAGAAGCAAATTTTCTTATTATGCTAATCTTTCTTGGAGCAATACTGGATTTTATATCATTAGGTCTGTACAGCTAAAATTTTCTTGTTTGTTATTCATCAACCCTCTCTAGAGCCCACACAAACATCGGATGTTTTGTGCATTAGATCATCGGATGCTAAATTCTATTACTCGAGTGACAATACAAGAGAAGATGGTCAGACAATTAATTCTTGGAAAGCAATTTCAATTTCTAGAAAAATGGATAGACTATTAGACACTGGCTAGTGAATAAATTGTTTAATAAAAAAATGCCTGTGAAATCGAAGGCAGTAGACCGTATGTGATTCGGAAACTGAAAGGTGAGTTATCTAAATACTATCTCAATCCAAGTTCATAATTAGCTAAATCAAAAGAAGTTAACATATGTGATTTGGAAAATGAATCACATTTTCCTCTTACTATATTGTTAATGTTCCAGATTATTCCTTCTCCACCTAATCCTTCTAGCCATAGCATCATCAAAAAAGAAAAAAAAATAAGAAGTACCTAATTGGCCTTTATTTGAGAGAGACATTCATGGAAAGGACTCTGCTTTATTGCTTCATTAATTATTTATGTTTCCTGTTTTGTAGAGTTGGAATATAAATACAAACAGTCAAAATGGCAATAAAAAGTCAAAGTCTTGGCCTCTAACTACTCCGTAATCTTCATTTTTTGAGTATGGAAGAAATAATCAATAATTGAAGAGTGGCCTATGTGGTATGATTGCATACATAGTGCCTGTCCTATTCAATGTATTCCTTCAAAGTTCAAACCTTTTTTGGCTTTTTAGAGAGAGAGAGAGAGAGAGAGAGATGGCTTTATTGTTTCAATAATTCTGCGATTGTACCTAATTTAGTAATTTTACAAAATTTATTTTTTCAATCATTCTACGATTGCACATGAAGTATTCTAATTTGGCTAGTTCATGGGTGCTAAGATAGAAAGCATTTTCTAATTTGCTCCATGTATACTCTCCACTGGATGATTCCTATTAATTCTAAAAAAAAAAAATGTTAAAATAATATTAATTCTTGCTGGCTGCTTGTTTCCATATCCAACTAAAACCTATTAAAATAGTCTATTTTGTACTTTTTAGTTTATTTTATTTTGATTTTTGATAAGTTTGTGCAATATTTTAATAATGAAGGCAAACCTAACACAATTTCTGTTCTAAGCATTATTTTATTTAAGAAAAACCCATATTTTAATTCTTTAACTATGATTAGGGAAAAAAAAAAAGAATTGATTAATATAAAATGCACAACTCATATGGAGATTGCATAAACAGATACTAAAATTACATTAAACTATGAATAAAAATGAACAAAAATAAATAAATAAATAAATAAAATAATGGAGGAACTCTTTAATCAAGGAATAAGGAATATCCTAAAATGAATATGCAAATATGATAATGTTAAATTGTCTCATCTCTAGCTTGATTAGCTGAATTCTGAATTATTGGACCCCAAATTGAAAGGGACTATTTTTGACAGTATGTTCAACCTGTGACCACAAATTTTAATTTGCTTCTGTACATTTTCCAGCAAAAATCTTGCCTTGGCTTATGAACTATGATGCAAACCGCCGGGGTACTCTAGGCGTCGGAACCACCACATCGCAGCCAGATTTTATCAATTCTTGGCGTTCTTTGATTGTTTTATCGAATAATCTGTTGTCAGGATTTTCTGCATAACAAACATGGTAGCAGCTCACACAGGCATGGGGCAATGCCATAGCAATTCTTGTCTGTAAATCATATAGTTAGAAAACAAAGTTAATTAACTAGCTGAGTCAATAAAGAATCTTATAAAAGATTATAGAATACCCAAATGGCCACATGATGAAAAGAAACTCGTAAAAAAAAAAAATAAACAAAGAAATGTTCCATTTAAAGTAATGTGGTCAGGGATACCAACCATTAGGTATCCAATGAAAAAAGCCAGAAGGGAAACTGTGGCTGTGAAAGGTTGATATGAAATGTGGTCAGGGATACCAACCATTAGGTATCCAATGAAAAAAGCCAGAAGGGAAACTGTGGCTGTGAAAGGTTGATATGATTCATGAGTCCAAGCAGCAACTACAATAACACAAATGGAGCCACTGCATACTCCTGTAAGAAAGCAAATTGAGCTTGTAATATCAGAATCTACAATCCTTTCCATATCTTGCCTCTCGAAGAGTGCCCAAGTATCCTGTGATGCTTGCACAAAGCTTTTTCCGTATGCGGCTATCTGCATTGTTGATTTGAAGGATAAATTTCGGTATAAACAAACGTAGCAGAATAAGTTAGCTGTGTTTGTTGTCTGAGAGTTGTGTCTAACCAGAATAATTAACCAGGAAAGCATTATTAGATTGGTAAATATATGAAGCATAGCAGAAAGAGTGTATTTTCATTAATTTTGGAATTATCCAGCATTATTCAGATTTTTGCAAAAGTGATTCTAGATTATGCAATTACTTGAAAATGACTCCTGAAATATAAATCCCTACTAGATCAGATTAAAGGCCCTGATAGAGAATTTGCAACGTTTAATCTTGCAGGGAAAAAATTCATTAAAACTTCAACTTCCTGAAAAGGACAATTAAGTGGCAAGTCATATTCATATTATCTTCTTGGCTATATAGAGGAAACTCAGTTATATTCATTTGCAACCAAAAAAGAAAGCATCAGATTGTTCAGCAAAATGCAGTAGAAGGGTAAGGAAATTTGTTGAAAAGGGTAAGGAAATTTGTTGAAGTTTCAAGATTTTAGCAGTGATGATACCTGTACATAGGCCCAGCCATTGCCAAATCTGAAAATGGAGTTCATGACTGCAAGACAGCAATGAGCACAAGAAAACATGAACTCATCCTCTCCCTCGAGCAAATTCAAACCTCGGGCAACAATTCTCAGCGCTTTAATTGCTGGCACAAATAGAGACCCCAGACAATCACTACCAAGATTTATAGTCGTAGCTCTTTGAAAACAAAATTGAGTACTAGACTGCATTCCTCTAAGATAATACAGAGAGATTACTCTACTGACTGCCAAATTAACCACATTCCTCATGAACTCTGTAATCCAAAGCACGCTTAATACTAATGCAATGATAGTCAAAGCTGGAAAATAGAAATTCAAGGCTCTAAAATCCACAAAGACATCCACAAGAACCCAGTAAGTATAGTTAACCATATTCTTTTTTTCATTTTTCTTATTTAATATATCAAAGCCATAAAAAGGCAAAATAAAATTCTAATGTATTATATGGAAAGCTGTAAATTTTGACAATGGCTCATTTGGAAAATATTTAAAATAAATAGTATGTGTATTGGTATAATAAATGTTCAAGTAATGAATTTATGATTTGGAAGAATTAAATTATTTATGTTATTAATTATAAGTTTCTTCGATATTTCTTTTGCTATACATGTAAATGTATGTTAAAATTTAATGATTCTATGATTGTAAATCACTACAAAAAAACGCCGTTTTGCGACCGACCCATCGGTCGCAAAATGGCATTTATCGGTCGCAAATTATACTTAGAGATAACTACAAAAAAAACGCTAAATTGCGACCGATTTTTGCGACCGACAGATATCGGTCGCAAATTTGCGACAGATTTACTACAGAAGAAAAAACCGTCGGGAATTTTAGCGCTAAAAATTCTCGCGATCTTGTTTCTCAGTTTGTGACCGAGTTGCGACGGATTTGCGACCGATATTGCGGCTAAGGTTTATCGGTCGCAAAATTTAGCCGTTCAAAATTTGGAATGATTTTTGCGACCGATGTGCGACTTATTTGAGACCGATTTTTTGCGACCGACTTATTTGATCGCAAATCGGTCGCAAATTGGACTGCATGTAAAACGACGTCGCAGGTTTAAAAATTGCGACCGATTTGCGACCGACTTGTCGGTCGCAATTATTAGGGCTTTAAAATTAGGGCTTTTAAACGCCAGACGCCCTCTGCTCCCTTCCTTTCTTCTCAGTTCTTTCTTCTTCCGCTCTCCCCTCTCCTCTCCTCTGTTCGCAGCTCGGTGGAGGCCGCTCAAGCAGCCTCCAAGAAACGCAACTCCAGCCCGGCCTGACGCCGACTTGGCCGTGTGCCCGTCTCTGACGCCGTTCCATGGGCCCCTCCGGTTGCTCCACCCGTCTTCCTTTGGAGCATTTTTTTCCAGGTATTTTGCTGATTTTTTCGGATTTTTTTTTATCATGTTTTTTTATTTTTTTAAACTTCAATTAATCCTGCTAACTAAATGGTAAATGCTAAATAATAAATTGCCACGCGAATCTAAAAATTGTAATTATGGAACAATTATATACATAACAAATATAATTCATTAAATAGTGGTAAAAAATAAATTAAAAATAATAATTCATTAATAGTGTAAAAAATAAAATTTATTAGAGTAAATATAAATTAAAATAATTATATGCAAAATTAAACGTAAGAAATCATAAATTAAATTGTAAAAACAAGTAAGGGCGAGTCACTTTACTTTGTAAAAATATGTAAAAATCATTATCCCATTGTAAATTTACTCATACTCAATAATTATAATAATAACCCCGATTAAAATAATTAATATATTAGCAACTTTCAATAGAAAAAAAAAATATATCAAAATACACCATACCTAATAGTAATAAGCTTAAAAATCTCACTTTTACCTTGTGTCATAAGAAATCGAATATAATCTAATGTTATGAAATTCATTTAAATCTAACCAACTTAAAAAAATTTTGAATCGAAATAAAAATCACATAAATAAATGTAATATATTAATTAATTAAAACTTTAAATTAAATCTAATACCCAAATACATATCTAATAAATGAATGTAATACTAAATGATACCATTGAAGAACACATATCCAAACACCTAATAATAATAAGGGGGGCTTAAAATTTAAAAAATCTCATTTTTGGAACGCTTTTTGGAACAAAATGAATTTTTTACTTTTGATCATTGACCGAAAATTCAATTCTGGATTTATTGGTTCTGATAATGCTTTCTATCTTGTATACGAACTAAACATATATATAAGTATTATATAATACTATTAGATATAGGATAACTAATATTATATACTACATAGTATTAAATAAAAAAAGAATAATATTAAATTATAATGTTATTTGATTCTTCAAATAAGACATAACTGAAGTTTGAATTTTTTTTTAATAATAATTAATGTTTTAATGATACATGAATTGAAATTTTACTCTTTTTTTATAATTATGAAAAATAATGGTATTTTTTTTTATAATTGTTATTATTATTCAATTAAAAAATTGTAATTTTTTTAAATGAATGATGCGTTCCTGGTTTGGTTGGAGGCCTAGTAGTGGTCATTTTGCTTTGAAGAATGTTGGTTATCGATATAGGAGTGTTTATTGAAGTTGTTTTTTATATTTGAGATTTTCATTGAGTTGTGCGGAATGCTGCCGAAGTTTTTTTCAAAAAAAATTCATTATGTGGAATGTACACTAACTATAGGGTAAAGGAATAAAATGAACTTAGTGAATAAATGAACTTAGTGGATTTTACAATTATAATATAGGTAACCCATTATTATAGAATAACCCTTTAGTTAGTTATACAGCTAAGCTGTACAATTGAAACATTACTAGTGGCATATGTTTTTCTGTTGGTTAGAGCTAATGCAATTACATATAATTTACCCTTCATAAACAAATTGTTTATTAGGTAAAAAAAACTGTGCGAAATAATCGAGAATTGGATGTAACTGGAGGTTCGAGTCAATGGGATATTAAGACAAGAGTTCTAGCAAGGATTGGAGGCGTTTATAACAGTTTGCAGTTGTAATCCAGTCTTTACTGGATGGTAATAAGTTGAGGTGTCGCATGTAATCACAAGAAAGTGGTACAAATCGAGCCCTTTTAGACCAATCGATACAGTGAAACTTCCTTTGTTGCAAAAATGGGTTATTGTGGAAAATTATTAGCGAATGGATACATCATGGTGAAAGCTCGCGAGTTGCCAAGTGGTACAGGCCCACTTTCATTTCGGTAAAGTTTAAGAAAGTTCAGCCTTAAATCAGCTTTCTGTATCGGTAATCATGCAGATGAATATTGGTGTTCGATGCGATAGAGTAGAATATGATTGGGATAATATGGAGGAAATCGGCCAAACAATGTTACAGCACAACAATTGTTTGAAGCATGTTAAGTGCAGCTAACAGTGAACTGTGGGCCTGGAATGCCAAGAGTATCATTCAGTTCTGTTGTTGTTGACGATTATTCACATGAGCGGAGCACGCATTTTTCAGAAAAGGTGTTACGATGATTGTTTGTACAGTTTAGCCAAAGGAAATCGTTTGCCTGAAAGGCCAATTCAAATAAATGGTTGATAATTTTTAAATCGGACAAAAAAAATTAGTTTTTTCGGGGGATTGACTAAGCGGTAGAAAAAGATTGATTGCTGTCGTAATACATTGTATGATATTCTGGGTGTTGACTCGGATTCAGAGAATGCCAAGGTTTTTGTAATCTCCAAGATATCAACGGCGGGGTCAAGGACTGGTAGAGTACAAAGAAGGGCTTTCGAGATGTATTATTTTCCCTCTTGTTCCTAACGCCTTCAAGGTTATAACTGCATCTAAGGCGACAGCTGACACAATGACATGGCATGCTTTGTGCATATGATGATGGTATACATGACTCATCCGTCAGAGCCTCATCCGTCAGACTCTAAAGCATGGAAACATTTTGATAACATTCATCCTGTGTTTGCTGCTGATATGAGAAACGTGAGATTGGGGCTTTATACTGATAGGTTTCAGCCGTTTGGCCAATCAAATATTCATCATGGGCTATCATTGTCACACTATATAATCTACCACCGTCAATGTGTATGAAAGATGAATACATATTTTTGTATGTTTTTGTGTGTTATTGTTCCTGGGCCTACTAATCCAAAACATAAAATTGATGTGTTTCTGCAGCCTTTGATTGCTGAACTTAATTATTTATGAGAATATGGGGTTGAAACATTCGATATTTCGACCAATCAGAATTCATAATGCGAGCTGCTTTGCTTTGGACCATCAGTGATTTTCCAGCTTTTGGAATGTTATCTGGGTGGAGTACGGCTGGCAAATTGGTTTGTCCTCACTGCATGGAAAACATTTACACTAAAAAATGGAGGTAAACAATGTTGGTTTGATTGTCATTGCAAATTCTTACCAGAATCTCACCCTTGGAGGAGAAATTGACAATGCCTTAGAAAGAATATGATTATTGCTGAACCCCATCCACCTGTGAAGTCTGGAGCTGAAATATTACAAGAAATTGAAGATCTGGGCCTTATGAAAGTTACAAAGTTAGGTGCAGATGAGGCAAATGGATGAATTGGCAGGAATAACGGGTGGAAAAAGCGAAGCATCTTCTGGAATTTGCCATATTGGAGTTCACTTCTTATCCGTCATAACCTTGATGTGATGCACATAGAAAAAAATGTGTTTGAAAATCTGTTCAACACTATCATGAACTGTCAACCACTGTCCATGAAACATTGAGGAATAACCAAGGATAAATGCAAAAAGCGAGACAGACAATGGAAAAGGAAATTTGTGCGTCGACCAGAACTCGAGCATCTGTACGTTACTGGTAAGTTTCCGAAGGCATTGTTATTGTTTTTGGATAAACCCCAAAGGCAATTATTGTGGCGAATGGTTAGATATTAAGGTTTCCAGATGGCTACTGTTCAAATAATGGGTAGAATGTGTGGACATAAGGAAAGTACAGACTGTTTGGCATGAAAAAAGCCCATGATGGCATGTTTCATGCAAAGATTGATCCCTGTGGCAATTCCGGGAATTATTAACCAGGAAAAATTTGGGAAAGCAATGACAGAAATGAGTCTCTTTTTCAAAGGAATTGAACGATGAACTGTTTTCGATGCGATGATTGATGGCCAATTAGCGGCGAGAAATCCAGTAGTGAATGTGCAAGTTGGAGCGAATTTTTCCACCCGGCTTCTTTGATTCTATGGAACATCTGCCGATTCATTTGCCCTATGAATGTCATTTAGCAGGACAGGTACAATATCGATGGATGTATCCATTTAAGAGGTGACTCAATAACATCTCATTCTAATGATTACATCATTTATTTGAACTTATACTTACATATTGGCATTGTACAATGACAGACACCTGCAAAAAATTTAAAAAAATGTGCGCAATAAGGCAAA